CATTTAAAAAAATTACAGTGTAGTGGATGTGACAGCCAAGTGAACCAGCGGTTACCAGATCCCATTTAGACCCTAGGCTGAAATTGTTCATCCAGGGAGTTCTCGTGATACAGAAGAGAAAGGACACTGAAAGTAAAGAGGGCAACTCCTGTGGTGATGTGGGAAGAAAGGGATTCATGGTTCACGACATGGGAAGAGTATTGTGGAAAGAAAGATCTAGGGGGTCTGAAGGCACGGAGGCAGGAGTTAGTTGGATACAAGCATGGGATGCATGACTGTGGTTAAGCAAAGAATGAGCATGCTCCCTGGAAGTGGAGAGAAGCATAGGCAGGCTGAAGAGTCCAAACTAAGCAGGTTTGTAGTATAAGAAAGGAAATGAATGCATGGGGGAAAGAACCCTAAAATTCTCCCTCTGTGTGTTCAAGCATGTTATAGGGCCTCCCTGTCAGCAAACACTATAACCAAAGAGCTGGGAAGAGTAATTTTAAGTCAATCTAAAACTGTATTCTACAAATACATTTTCAGTTTTCAGCAGGTGTAATGGGATAAACTATGACACATGTTTTTTTTGCATTGTAAGGGATTTTGTGAAGTCCATTAATTAGAAATAAGATTGCATACTATAGTCATCCCCTAAAGATTCATGATAGCTTTAGTATTATGAAGACTTTCAAGTCTTCCAGCAAAGAAACAACATCAGTTTTCTTTATCTGTTTCCCAAAGCTTTTGCACATGGATCCCATTTTCTATAATAGTAATATTAGTATCGTTTTATGGAGCCCAATTTTTGCAACAATAGTCTTGGTCTCAAAAACCAATCATCTCCATTCATAATCTTTGTTTATTTATTTGTACAGTGATGAGGATCAATTCTGGGACCACCTTCATGCTGGCAAGTGCTCTACCATTGAGTTACACCTTAACTCTACATATGTTTTTCCACTGCTGTGGGATTAAATTGCTGGTTCTTGCGTACCCACTTCCATTTTTGGAATGTTCTTGCATCCCTGTAATAAACTAAAGTTGTTTATTTTTTTGTAGCTGTTTTTCATCGAATTTTTCATTGCATTCATTGCTGGGTTTTTTTTTTTTTGGGTTTTTTTTTTTGTTGTTGTTGTTGTTGTTGTTGTTTTGGTTTTGTTTTTGGTCACACTCAGACTTCATTACCTGCTAATAAGTTATAAGAAATGTGAACTTAGTTGTTCCTAAACAAATATAAATCATTCCAAACGTGTTTAGTGGGAGTTATAATGAATAAAATCACTTTTACTTATTATGAAGTCCTTACACTCACAGTGGCAAACTTCTAAATTAATATTGAGCCAGTAAACCAGTGGTGATGCTGAAAAAAAAAATCAAACAAATAAAAACAGAATTGACCTTGTTAAAATAATGTTTCCAGCATTTATCTGTCAGAGCCACTGATTTGGAAATTGTTGTAACTTCTTGAAAAGATGAACTTTTTTTTCCATAAAAGTACCTATCACTGTGCAAAGTGCAGTTTCATTTTCCTTGAAGAGAACACAGTGATTGATTATCCAGAGTGCTGTGGTGACAAGGTAAACCAGCCAAAGAGCTGGGAAATTGTATAGAATCATAGAGCATCACAGAGGTGTGATGTCAAGCACCGCCATCGGAATTAAATCGTGCCTTTCTAGTTAGTCTGTGCTGGTGCTTCATGCTCACCCCCAAAACCTTGACCTCCAGAGACTATTCAGTCATCCCCTCTCCAAATTCTGTCAGCTCCATTCTTATAACCCCAAATCACTGTGGTAGAAACGGAACAAACCTCCCTCACCAAAAGAGATTGCAAAATGCAGGTGCCTGTTTTGCATATCCCTTGCCTATGTGACCTTCAGTGAGACGTTTTTTACATTTTCTACATGAGCACCCCTTCAGTAGTTCTGAAGATCCTGACATGTGATGAGCAAGTGGAAGGAGGTGTGGGAGATGAGCAGAAAGAAAAGGGACACAATGGTCACTTCTAAGAAGCTGATAATCTAGTTGGGATACCTGCAAAAGCTTGAGAACTGTTACACACTAATACAGCCAGTGCCTAAGCACCAATGCACAAACTGAGTACATGACCAATAAAGGAGCAATCAAATTACCCTTGTTATTAGTGGACTAAATTAAGTCAGAGTAAAGGAAGGGCTACACAAGCTACCCCAGAACTGATTACCAGTTGTGTAATTGAGGATAGAGCCAGGCCTTCTCCTAATGATCAGAGTAATCTCTCCATGTTCATCTTGCAGTGCTTTAGAATTGAAGCAGCTCTGTGAGGATTGCTGAGCTACTCTGCTTTACTAAATTGCTGTCCACATTGTATAGGATGTCCTGTGTTCTGGATTGGGATGAGGATTTTAGATGCTTAACTTGGGGACATGTAGCTGGGCAGGATCAATTCCTGTCAGTCACACACAAATACAGAGGAGGGGGATTATAGACCAGGGTGAAGCTGCAGTGCTTTAATCTCAAAATCAATACAGAGAAGGAAGAGGAGCTTGTGAGGGCTCTATAGACACTGTAATTTGGTTTCCTGTGAGATTTGCTTTACATAGTACAATGCTCCTTTCTTCCTTCCTTCTGATTATTTCCGTAGAACTGGGGAGGGGAGAGGAAGGTATAGTGGGCAGAAGCCTAGAGCACCAAATCATCTCACATAAGCATACACTGTAACTCATAATTTCATAAGCATACACTGTAACTCATAATTCAGGCGAATCCCCCACTGTACATGCTGTTATCTGTTCTTTTTATTTAGGGAAACAAACTATCTAAAATCCTGATCCTATTGTGTATCTTTAAGAAAAGCAAAATGCCATTGATTCCTCCTAAGTCACTGTGAAACCGGAAAAACATTTCTAATATTTCCTTTATGTCTAAGTGTTCTGTAGCCTGTATAATTTTATTTAGACCAAAGGATTCCAGACTGCTAAGCATGTGATTAATATTTACTTCAGTGCATTCTATTCTTTTTGAAAGAGACATGAAATAGTTATTTAAACAACTCAGGTGTTTTTAATCAAAGATTCAGAGTTTATTGAATGTTCCTCTATTCAAAAGTAACTCTAATTTGTTGCATAATACCGTAGCTTTAAGATGGTCTTGTTATTTTTCTCTTTGGAAGTTCTTGGGTTCAATTTTAAAGTCTTGGTCTGTGTAGGCCCTTCCTTCTTCTCCAGTGCTGACAATAATGGCTTTGTTTGGCTCTGCACTTGCCCTCATGGACCCATGAGGGCAGTCCGCCTGCTGCTCGGGGCGTGTCCTCAGAGGAGACTGGAGTCAGTCAGCACCATTCTCCTCTCCTGGGCTACAGCATGCCTTGAGCAGTTTAGCTTTACCACCGTGTGCTGCCTCAGCATAGGGCCCAAACAATCCAAACAATGTAGTGTCCACACTACAGTCTGCTCCACGAATCGGGCAAAGGTCTAGAGATTGAAATAAGAGGCCAGACAGCAGGTCATTTGTTCAATAGCAACATCAGAGTGCCCAATGCTGTTTATTGAGGAGAAGGAGCCGGCTGATATACTGACTCACAGCACAGTGGAAACAATCAGGAGTCAAGCGTGCAAGTTCTGGAGCTTAGCTCCTCCCCAGCAGGTGTGTGTTAGCAAATGAAGAGGGGTACCAAGAGCTACTCTGGTGCAAGATGTTCCAGCTAAAACTGTAGAATGTTCCAGACAACAGCTCAGGCTTGCTCAAATTGCCTCAGGGGTCCATGCAGGGCCTTAGTAAGTTATGGATTGAAACCTCCAAACTGTGAGCCAGGTAGCCTTTCTCGAGGGAAGATTTCTTGATTGTTACAGTAACAAAAATAAATATGAAATACTGTGAACTTGTGAAAGAATAATTGGATATGAACAAAATTCAGGGCCAGTATTAAATCAGAATGAGACAAAAATGAGTAGAGCCTGGAGCCATTGCTTTTTTGTTTGGTTGTTCTCATCCTGTTGACTATTGTTTTCGCTGACAGTAATTATAGGGGCAGAAAGGGTTAAATAAGCTAAAGCAAGTAGAGTGCCTAGTGTGCCTGTGCTTATAAGAACCCTTCGAACATTTATGATAGCCATGACCATTATGTGACTTTCAAGTGATTCAAAATATGCTGCCAACACCCTGCAAGCTGTAAGCTATAACCCAAACATTACTTGTTCTTCTTAATCCATTGATAGTTTATAAATTTAAACCAAATAGGTTTGGTTTCTTTGTGTTGCTTGTAGTGGGCCTTTACTCTCTAAGCAGAGCTGATAAATAAGGCTTCCACTGACCATGAATGCTTTTAAAACCCATAGAGGTTCCAGTAGTGGCAGTGGAAGCCTATAATCTCAGCCCTTGGGAAATGAAGGCAAAAAAAAAAAAAAAAAAATACAGAATTTAATCCATTCTGAGCTGTATTAGGAGTTCAAGGCCTACCAGAGCTTAGTAGCAAAGCCCAGTCTTAAAACAGCAAGGAGGCTAGATGGTGGTGGTGCACGCCTTTAGTCTTAGCATTTGGGAGACAAAGGCAAGTGGGTTTCTGTGAGTTTGGGGTCAGCCTGATCTACAGATGGAGTTCCAAGACAGCCAGAGCAACACAGAGAAACCCTGTCTCAAAAAACAAAAGCACAAACCAGCAAGGAAAGAATGGGGATGTAGCTTAGGGATAGAGTGCACAGTCCTGGTTTCCACCCTCCACCCCATCCCACCCCACCCCCGGCACTATTTTAAACAATAAAAAACAGATACAGAGACATCTTGTGGGTTCCATGAAGTCCACAAAACCTTTGGAAAATCCCTATTCTGCGCCATTCTTGGGAACAGAACTTTCAGGTCTTTGAAAAGCTCTCATTGTGTGACATGCGTGTTTGGTTGTTGCTTTTAATCATGTTTTTAAGTGCCACAACCTACAGGAAGCTCAAGCACCTTAAGCGATCACACCCTTTCAGTTGGTCCTGCGTATTATTTCCAAACAGAAATCTCATGAGTTTCTGTGTCCTCTCTTTTTTGTTCATTTCCAGAGCACCATCATTGTAGAGAAGACAGTGCAAGACCTCATGAACCTGATGCATGACCTGAGTGCATATTCGGATCAGTTCCTCAACATGGTGTGTGTGAAGCTCCAGGAGTACAAGGACACCTGCTCTGCAGCCTACAGGTAGAGCTCTGGTGGCAAAGCCAGCTCGGCGTGGAGCCTGCTGGGGCTGGCAACACTGCCTTCCTTGCCTCCTTTCCTGAGCTTGTCAGCAGGCCTGACAAGGAGAGACAGGCTGTTAGGTCCCCGCACAGTCACACTGACCAAGGGAACAAAAACAACAAGTGAGCGGAGACCCTTAAGATGGCTGTAAAGGCTCAGCTCCAGGTCAGCCCTGGTTTTCATAGAAACCTAGAATAGAAGTGTGACATCCTCACCGAAACCTCAGGTCTTGATTAGCCCCCTTGGTGAGAGAAAAGGTCCTGATAATAGTGTGATTGAAAACCCCTAATACTCTAGTATATAACGACTTTCTCGTTCTTAAGAATACATTCCTACTGACATTGATGCGGAGCCCTCCTACTATCAGAGAGGGACAATTAAACCTGTTTCAGCATTAGTGGAAGGGAGGAAAACAGAGTTATGGACTTGATTGTTAGTTAGACCTCAGATTTTCTTTTCTCTGGGTTTATCAAATTATCTGGTGTTCATAGAAAGACCATAGCATTTCACATAGTAAACTAATGATAGGAACAAGTTATGGCCTGGCTGACAAGTCTTGAAACCATTACAGAAAAAGAGAATGTACAATAAGATGTTAAATTGCATGTGATACCTAATTAAGGATAGACAGGGACAGCACAGTGAATAGTCACAATCTGTGTGAACACACGAGGAGATAGGGACAGGGGTGGTTTTGCAGGAGGTGACACGCTAGACAGATGACACTCACGGAAGTGGAGAGAGTCATCAAAGCATTGCCGTAAAGGAGAGGGCTCTAACACAATGGCCCTGCATTTGGGGGACAATCAGGGTTCCCTAAGTGGGAAATGGTAGGAGACAATGTTACCTAGGAAGCGTGGCACCAACCAACCCAGGGTCTGAGAAGACAAGATTTGGACATGTGGATGCTCTGAGAGTCTTTCTTCTGAGTCAGGAAGCAAAGTTGAAAAGAACTAATCTGAAAGAATTATATACATGAATGCAAACCTCCCTCATTCCAGCTGGAAGCATTATTTATCCATTGTCTCAGCTCAATTAAATTTTAAAAAGCCATAATCTCATTGAGTTGTGCTCCCAACAATATTTACCTTTTGTATTCATCAAACTGTCAACATAATAGGTTAAAGTCATCCCTAGTAATATTTTTATATTCAGTTAGAAACCAAATAATTATCATGGTAATTCAAAAATATTAAAACTTATTCTTGTGGTAACAGAAAATGTAAATTCCTATTTTAAAACTTGAGTTTATACAAATTTTCTTTGCCAAAAATTACAACATTATAAGCAAATGTTTCAAGCTAAAAATGTACTCCATTGCAGTAAAACTTAGTGAAAAAATAAAATGTAACTGGTATTCAAGAAAAAAGGAAAAAGGGTCCATAAGAAGAGCATTTATTATGTATTATAAATATACTATGGGAGAGTTCAAATCCCTGTGAGATTGAGATTCAATTAACTGCATTTGTTACTTTTTACTTGAAAAGTAGTAATTGAATCTACTTAGGAGACAATGAGATATTTCTGTTCCTAGACTTTAAGAACATTTAAAACAGTGATTTTTTTTTTACAAATGTATTTATGATATGTCACAAGTCCTGAGTTTTGCAAGTATTTAAATTCATACCCAAAACAACTACATGTCAGCTTTAATATGCAGAGAGAATATAGTTTTTACAAATTATTTTCGTGGGATTACAAATTGTCAAACTCACTGACCTAACATAATTGAATGAAATTGGATCTTCTGGCCCATCCCATGGGTGTTCTGTTTTCAAGTGTTTTAAAATAAATTCCAAAATGGTTGTACCAATATGTCACCTACCAAATAAGAATTTAAGAATGTTTTAAACATTGAAACATCCATTTTAAGTAGTGACAACATTTTAAAATTAGACCTTAATACCACTGTGTGATTTTATTTTATGTTTATATGGAACCACCATTAAATTTAAATTTTTAAAATAGGCATATATCTAATTACGGGCACCAACTAATTTTTCACCAATAATTATGATGAATATTACTTATAATTAAACTATAATAAATAATATAATAAATAATTAAACTATAATAAAATATTTGGCTCTTGAGTCTAAACTCTACTGATAAGCAGAATTTGTTAAGTGTTGTTGCATTAATTATTTTGACAGAAAAGTTTTAAGTTCCTAGAGCTTGGCACCTATTCGTTATTTTCTTTCTAGGTGTGAAGTGATTGGAAGCCATTGTGTATTAGTCAGGTTTGTGTTACTATAATGCAATCATTTGGACAATTAACCCACATAGTAAATGGCTCCCTTCTGGTGGATCCAGTCCAAGACACCATGGTCTCATTGTTGTGAGCCTCTGACAAAGGATTTCCTATCAGAGCAGAAGTGCCCAGTGAAGCCAACAATTTGCATCATGAACCAAGAAGCAGAGAAACATCCAGAGACCAGGGTGCCACAATTCCTTTTGAGAACACATACTCAAAGTCCAGTCAGTCCTTTTTATTAAACTAAAATCATTTTTATTACTTATGTGTTTGGGAAGATAGTTATTGTAGTTCATTGTGGGGGTTTTTTGTTCATTTGTTTTGTTTTGTTGGGTTTTTTGTTGTTGTTTTGTTTTGTTTTGTCTGTTTGTTTTGTTTTTGAGACAGGGTTTCTCTGTATTGTTTTGGAACCTGTCCTGGAACTAACCCTGTAGATCAGACTGGCCTCAAACTCACAGAGATCCACCTGCCTCTGCCTCCTGAGTGCAGGGATTAAAAGTGTGTGCCACTAATGCCCCGGCAGGGATTTACTTTTAATGTTGTTTTCTCCCCTAGACTGGACATCACCCTGTCACCCTTCTCCATTGTTATTAGCCTGATAGTATCTATCTTAAAAAGGACTCCCCTGAGCCTGGCTGATTTCCAGGTGTGCTTGCTCTGCATAATAGACCAGCACCATCACGTGCCTCCTTTAGGAGCCAAGATTTAAACCCAGTTCTTTTTGTATCCTGTCACTGCATTGGGTAGAGCTTCACTAAGCATCCAACCAAGACTCTCCTTGACTCCCCTGTGTGTGAAGAGTTAACCTAGTCCACAGACTCTACCTTTAAGGATGCTTACAGCCTCCAAGACTCCCCCTGACCCCCCTGTGTGTGAAGAGTTAACCTAGTCCACAGACTCTACCTTTAAGGATGCTTACAGCCTCGGGAAAGGAGAGAAAGTAGGATGTGACAAAGAAACAGTGTATATACAGACAGCATCAAGTTGTGAGAGGAAACACAGTAAAACAGAGAAAATACAGTCATAGGAATGCAAGAGTAAGGCCAGCAGGAGAGGATGCCAGAAGGATGAGAACTGGTTTGATGAGGAATGAGGATGATTGGGGCAGGGAAGCTTAAGAAGAGTAGGATGGATCTGTGGCAACATGGGGGGGGGGGGTTAGGAGATGTAGGACAGGAAGAGCAAGGGCATGAGTGTGGGTGACTTGAGGGGCTCTGGAGGGTAAGCCGGGCTGTGGAGGGTAGGCTCTGGGACTCCTGTTTCAGAGTTAGGCAGTAAGGAGCCAGGGTAGGTGTGAAGCAGGGGGACCAGGTACAGAGAGGAGCTCTGTGGAGGTGGGGGGGGGGCGGTAGGAGAATGCTTGTTAGGGATGAGGTGAGGAAAATGGAGAGGAAGGATACTGAAGAGGTGGCATTTTGTGATTGGCTGGAGAGGGTAGCAGAGGGTTTAGGGGGAACAACGGTGAAAGCATCTTTTTCTTTGCAATTTGTGGTGACTTTTAAACATAGATTCAAGATCTCACACTCACCCATTGAATGTAGTGTTATTTTTAACTCCTCATCTGGGCCTATTGAGATATTTTCGAATCCTCATTCTGTCATCAAAACTTCTGAGCTATTCCTCTAAGTTCCATGTCTCCCTTCAGCTTAGTTTCTTTATAGGAAAACATTCAACAAAACAGTTTAAGTTGAAAATATAGGGGTGCTCGTGGCCATCCATGCCAGGTGACCATGTATGTATTGTACGGTATTTCTAGATGGAACCCAGCTTTGGCTCGGAAGCGGGCCCTACAGCCAGTGTCAATACCAGCTTTTTGCGTACTTGTTGTATGGCCTTGGATAGCACTCAGCCTCTCTACCCTAACTTCCCTTTCCAAAAAAAAAAAAAAGTGGTGTTCCAGAAATGCCAGCCTTTTATACCTGTTTTTAGCCAAATGAGATGTCACCCAAATTATGTGCCTGTGATCTCGGTGGATGGTGGTTGGTGGTGGTGGTGTCCTTTACCACTGCTCACGACAGCCTATCTTTGTAGCATCTGCTGTTCTTCCAGAAACATTTTTCTTGTTGGTGCTTCTTGCCTGACAGTTTGCGTTTAGTTTTAGAGGCAGGCGTGGAACTTACTGTATAGCCTAGGCTAGCCATGAACTCAAGATTGTCCTGCTTCAGCCCCGGAAGTACTAGAATTGTAAGCATATGCCACTGTGCACTTCTAAGTCTGAACCTCTTTAAAAAAAAAAAAAAATTAACTCAACTACAGTTTCTCCTCCCTCCTCCCCTCCCAGTCCTTCCTCCCATCCACTCCTCCTCTGCTCTGCTATCCCATAGACATCAGCAGAGCATGGCATATCAAGTTGCAGTACGACTAAGCCTCCCCTTGTATTAAGACTGGGCAAGGTGACCCAGTGTGAGAAATGGGGTCCGAAAAGCTAGTAAAGGAGTCGGAGACAGCCTCTGCTCCCACTGTTAGGAGTCCCACAAGAAGACCAAGCTACACACTGTCACATATATGCAGAGTGCCCAGGTCAGTCCCATGCAGGCTTCTGGTTGTTGGTTCAGTCTCTGTGAGACCCTATAATTCTGTGGGTTTTCTTGTGGTGTCCTTGACCCCTCTCGCTTCTACATTCCTTTCTCCCCCTCTTCTGCAGACTTCCCAGAACTCCGCCTAATGTTTGGCTGTGGGTCTGCATCTTTCCATCAGTTGCTAGATG